TGTTAAATAAATATTACACAAAAGACTTGTAAATTTATTGACGTACAGTACACTTATTAAATCCGAAAATTCTACAGTAGTTTACATTTAGTAGTAATTTAATAATTAATTAAGAAATGATTTAATATTTTATCGTATTTTGTTATTTGAAAGATCTATCGTGTTGAAGTAGAGGACATGCTGTGATGTCACATAGAGCCAAGGTCACGCTAACAAATATACGGGATCTGGCTATCCTTGTAGTTTAAAGTCCTTGGGTTCGACCAGATCCACAATGGAGCTGCGGGGTGGTTAGAGACGGGGCCCGACATATCCGGACGAACCACCCCCGAAAAATTCCTGGGGATTTTTCGACCCGTTCGGATTCCATTCCGGGTTTCTCGAAGCGGTAGGCTGACCTCTTGACCGCGCGATTATCCGCCCGTCACACGCTGCTGGGTACTTCGTCTGTGTTTTGCAAAAAGTACGAGAAACGAACTCTTTCAGTGAATGATTTCACTCAACGAGTTGATAAAACGTGATATTCTGAAAACTTTACTTCCGTTTTCGTAATAGAAGATTAGCCGCCTTGCACGGGGTTAATTAAAGAGAGTTGTAAAGTCTCAAGCGGCGACTTTCGAGTTTATGGCCGAGTAAGAGAGTTATCAATTTCACGAAGCCAAAGGATATTGATGAATTGAATCATCTTACTTTTACCGAATTCGCTCAGAATATTTTACAAGACGATATCGAAGAGTCTGACGAATCGGAAACGGAAGATAAAGTTAAAACTAGATCAGTAGACTCTTGAGACTGAGCATGAGATGAGGAAATGAAAGAATCTCAAGAACAGGATTATTTTGTTGGTAAGTAAGCTGAATAATTTTATGCATATATTTCACTATATAATAATTATTATTTTAGGCAAAGGCAGTAAGTACTCAATGGAGTAAAATTCAGTACAGGACAACTAAAACTAGGCCGCATTATATTCTGGTTAAATTATATGGCATCGTCGGATAAACTGCATTGAAATGCCAAAACTGAAATCGAGTGTTGGAGTCTCTTCTCTAGTTATAATATTATGAACTTATTGATAAATCATAAAAATTAATACATAAAAGGCATAAAAGAAAAATACTCTAGAGACAGAAATTGTCTGCTTACGGACTTGATTGAAATGAAAATGTTTCTCGGGGTACTATATTTAGTAGCAGTGTTACCATCTCTGTTTCTTCAAAATAGGCTAGATATGGAGTCACAAAAGACTAAAATAAACCAAATTTTTACGTCATTAAACAAAAACTTTTAAAAATTTTAAACAATCATTTTAAAAATAACGCCCTCGGGTAAATTAAATTAAAATATTACCTACAGTACATCAAAAATATTGATGTAATTACAAAATGACTTTTATTTAATTCAGTATTATTTACGAATAAATTGTGGAGACAAGGGTAATTGGCCTAAATCAATGTTTCTCAACCTCTAACGAATCGTCGCCGCCTTCAATAAAACCGTTACCTATTATTGCCCCCTTCACTTCAAAATTCCGATGCCGAGGACCAAGACTAACGCCAAATTCGTACTGCATTGAATAGACTAGACTAGTGACTAGTATAATGTTATTTGTTTAATTATTGTACGATATAACGAATAAAATATCTAATTATTCTTAATATAATATTTTACTATATCGCTCAGAAAATTGTTTTTCGCCCCCCAAAATATAAATTGTTACTAATCGCCCCCTCAACATAGAAAAACGCGCACATGGGGGCGATATCGCCCCCGTTGAAAAACACTGGCCTAGATCGTATTGTTGCAAAGATTTTGACAAAGGAAAAGAAGTAATGAAACGACAAGAGTTCTTTAAACGAACAAAACTATACAATAAACATTTAGCATTTTTTGATAGGCGTTTAACGAAAAACATTCTTCATTGGTAATTTTGGAAGCTAATAGAAAACCATTAATAGTTTACACCGAGAGTTTGTTGCGCAAACAAACTCTCAATGTAAGTTGTTTCCACCGAAGTTGAATCAAGTTGTTTCGGCCGAAGCACTATTTTCTCTCGATGGCGTTCTTTTCATTTCTAAGGAGTGAGGAAATTGTAGGGTTCCTCTAAAAGCCTACAAAAGAGTGATGACTCTTTACAATCCTGTCCTACTACATCGGGCTATCTCCTTATAGATAGAACAGAGGGTCTTGTGTTGTGTTATGATAGAACATTCGGAAAGGATAGATATCTACAAACTGTTCGGGATAAGGATGGCATGAAAACAGACAGTCCACTTATATGTTATTGTAGGCCTATTATCGTACAATTTAGCAAAATCGCTGCAGAGGAAAAATTGCCGTCAACTTTGATGTTATAAGCAATGATGTAACGAAACGATGACGTCATCTATAAAAAACTGACATCNCCAACATATTTACCTTTTTTATTTAAAAAATGAGTTTCATCTAAGTAGATTATAACAGAATGAAACAAATAATATTTGAAAAATTGAGGAAGAATGTGATAACTGTAAAATTCAATTTTGTGATATATTATAAATAATCCATAAATCTAATTCATTACCTTCCACTTTATTGAATTCTCTAAATTATGGAGATTAAATAATTATTGTGAATGTAATTTATAAATCATATTAACTATGATTCTTAATATAATGAAAAAGTTGTAATGAAACATAATTATATGTAATTATTATATTTATTGTACAATTTGTAATTTATAACATGAATACGTTTCTTATTTTATGAGGAAAATGACTAATTTTATATCTTTGAAATAGGTTAATGTGTAATTACTTTTTGGTAGTTAACTGATTGCCCTAACTTTTTAACTTTTATTTATCATTTTAATGTAATTGCAATCTATGGTTAAAAAAGAACTTGTATCAATTTTTTATGGTATATTAGAGCCGTGGTTCTCAATCTGTGGTCTGTAGAACATGGGTGCTCCATGAAGCCACTTTAAGTATTCTGTGAAAAAATCAAATATACAATTAAAAATTATTGCAAAAGAAAAATCAATACAATGTAAAATGATTTTTGTATGGGAATGTAATCAGCAAATGCCAATGGTGTCTTATACTATGTTACGGTAAGATCTAGCAACACCAGAGAGAGAGGGACGTGCAAGACAGATGGCCCTGACTAATGTATAAAGAGTGGAGATCACCCAGTCCAAGTAGGACCCCAAATAAAGCATTTAACCATTTAAACCCGAGCATTTAACCCAAATAAACCAAGTGCGCTCTTGATTTCAAAAAGGTTTGCCACCTCTGCTTTTAAAGCTGACGTATTTTAAGTGTTCCGTGGAAAAAATTGTCAAAGTTTAGTATTTCCTGACTTCAAAAACATTGAGAACCATGGTATTAGAGCAGAGCCGGCCCTACCATAGGGCGAACGGAGCAGCCGCTCCAGGCGCTAAGTCTTAGGGGGGGCGCTTCAGTGGTAAAGAAAATTAAAGGGTATAAATTAGGGGCAACCAAGTGGGGCGCTATAATAGGATCTCGCTCCATCCTAAAACTTGCCTCGGGCCGGCACTGTATTAGAGTATAATCTTAATTTAAAAGTATTTAATTTATTTCTGTTAATGAGACAATTTGATTTTATAACTAAAAATTAATATTAGAGTTCATTTTAGAATCTTGATAGAAACTTGTTTGGCTGTTTGAAATTGAGCAGTTTAATATTTTAATTTTTACATTGCAAAATGTTTACTGATATTGCATTTTTAATAAATCTTCAAAATTATTTTAAACATTTTCTAATACAAATTTATTTTCAGATGTTTTTGGTAGGTTTGACTGGTGGAATTGCTACGGGAAAAAGTACAGTAGCATCTATGTTTCAAGAATTTGGCATTAAAGTTATTGATTCAGATGTCATTGCTAGACAAGGTACAAAACCAAAGTATAATATGCAAAGTTTCTATCTTCATTTAAAAAATATTGATACAGTTTGAATTTAAACATTTAATTTTTGAAAACCAAATTCAAAATTATTATGAAAGACGTATAAAATTTATATATAAATAATCTTCTTCTATAAGTTGAATCTTCTTTATATGTTCTCAATACATAAACATTTATTTATTATTAATTTTATTTATAATCTTTTTGTATTCATAAGATTTTCTTTAACTTATTTCAAGTATTAAATGTCCAACTCACTAAGTGTTTAATATAGTTTTTAATAACAACCTTAATCATTCTGAAACAGTTAATAATTATTATGATTAATTTTTAAAGTTTTTTTGAATATTAAAACTTAATGTATTTTTTACTCTAAAACTCTTTTATTACAGTTGTTGAACCAGGAACTATTGCATGGAAGAAAATTAAAAATGAATTTGGGAGTGAGGTTATTTTACCAGATGGAATGATTGACAGACAGAAATTAGGACAAATTATTTTCTCAAATTCGGAATTAAGAAAAAAGCTAAATTCTATTACTCATCCAGAAATATATAAAACAATTTTTTGGGAATGTCTAAAATTATTTTTATTAGGTAAATTTTATTTTATTTCCAATTCCTGTTTAATTTCTAAAATTAAACTATTTAAGCATATAATATGCTATTCTCAGAGACTAAACTTTTTCATTAAATGAAAATAATGAACATAATACAATACATTGTGGTTATTATTTTCATTCATCTGTTTCTCTGAATGTACTGTACCTCAATGGCCAATACTGATATTAAGATGCTTAATATTGCCTTGAAGCAAACTAACAATATTATGAATGATATCTAATTTTAATTTTAAATTTCTACAATACATTTTAATTTATTCCATTAAAAAGTAATATTATTGTACTTATGGAATTACAATACAAAGTAATTATATAATCATGGACAATGAATATAAATTGAAACTTAGATTATTCACACATTACAGGGCAATTACATTTAGTATTACTAGTAGATTGTTACTAGTCTATGTAGTTTGTGATACATCATAAAAATTCTATACTAGATCATAAAAATATACGAAAGACGGAAATTTTTGAAAATAAACTGGTTGCGCCACCTGTTATTCCAAAATCACACCTATGAGTTTTTAAAGGAAAATATTCCCGACGAAAAGGTAGGACGCAAGTTTTACCTCTACGTGTACTGTACGTATATATGATACTAAACAAGTTATCGCACATTTTTGTTTAATGCGGTAATTTAGATCTCTATAAACACGAAAAATTCATATATTTTGAAAAGAGTATTAAATCTTGTTAAGAATAAGAATTCATCAACAGTATGATTTAAAACTTTTTAAAGTTATTGTTTCCATCGTTAAAATAACCCTACAGAAATAATTAATCCATCCGAATTTTCCTTACCAACATATTTACCTTTTTTATTTAAAAAATGAGTTTCATCTAAGTAGATTATAACAGAATGAAACAAATAATATTTGAAAAATTGAGGAAGAATGTGATAACTGTAAAATTCAATTTTGTGATATATTATAAATAATCCATAAATCTAATTCATTACCTTCCACTTTATTGAATTCTCTAAATTATGGAGATTAAATAATTATTGTGAATGTAATTTATAAATCATATTAACTATGATTCTTAATATAATGAAGAAGTTGTAATGAAACATAATTATATGTAATTATTATATTTATTGTACAATTTGTAATTTATAACATGAATACGTTTCTTATTTTATGAGGAAAATGACTAATTTTATATCTTTGAAATAGGTTAATGTGTAATTACTTTTTGGTAGTTAACTGATTGCCCTAACTTTTTAACTTTTATTTATCATTTTAATGTAATTGCAATCTATGGTTAAAAAAGAACTTGTATCAATTTTTTATGGTATATTAGAGCCGTGGTTCTCAATCTGTGGTCTGTAGAACATGGGTGCTCCATGAAGCCACTTTAAGTATTCTGTGAAAAAATCAAATATACAATTAAAAATTATTGCAAAAGAAAAATCAATACAATGTAAAATGATTTTTGTATGGGAATGTAATCAGCAAATGCCAATGGTGTCTTATACTATGTTACGGTAAGATCTAGCAACACCAGAGAGAGAGGGACGTGCAAGACAGATGGCCCTGACTAATGTATAAAGAGTGGAGATCACCCAGTCCAAGTAGGACCCCAAATAAAGCATTTAACCATTTAAACCCGAGCATTTAACCCAAATAAACCAAGTGCGCTCTTGATTTCAAAAAGGTTTGCCACCTCTGCTTTTAAAGCTGACGTATTTTAAGTGTTCCGTGGAAAAAATTGTCAAAGTTTAGTATTTCCTGACTTCAAAAACATTGAGAACCATGGTATTAGAGCAGAGCCGGCCCTACCATAGGGCGAACGGAGCAGCCGCTCCAGGCGCTAAGTCTTAGGGGGGGCGCTTCAGTGGTAAAGAAAATTAAAGGGTATAAATTAGGGGCAACCAAGTGGGGCGCTATAATAGGATCTCGCTCCATCCTAAAACTTGCCTCGGGCCGGCACTGTATTAGAGTATAATCTTAATTTAAAAGTATTTAATTTATTTCTGTTAATGAGACAATTTGATTTTATAACTAAAAATTAATATTAGAGTTCATTTTAGAATCTTGATAGAAACTTGTTTGGCTGTTTGAAATTGAGCAGTTTAATATTTTAATTTTTACATTGCAAAATGTTTACTGATATTGCATTTTTAATAAATCTTCAAAATTATTTTAAACATTTTCTAATACAAATTTATTTTCAGATGTTTTTGGTAGGTTTGACTGGTGGAATTGCTACGGGAAAAAGTACAGTAGCATCTATGTTTCAAGAATTTGGCATTAAAGTTATTGATTCAGATGTCATTGCTAGACAAGGTACAAAACCAAAGTATAATATGCAAAGTTTCTATCTTCATTTAAAAAATATTGATACAGTTTGAATTTAAACATTTAATTTTTGAAAACCAAATTCAAAATTATTATGAAAGACGTATAAAATTTATATATAAATAATCTTCTTCTATAAGTTGAATCTTCTTTATATGTTCTCAATACATAAACATTTATTTATTATTAATTTTATTTATAATCTTTTTGTATTCATAAGATTTTCTTTAACTTATTTCAAGTATTAAATGTCCAACTCACTAAGTGTTTAATATAGTTTTTAATAACAACCTTAATCATTCTGAAACAGTTAATAATTATTATGATTAATTTTTAAAGTTTTTTTGAATATTAAAACTTAATGTATTTTTTACTCTAAAACTCTTTTATTACAGTTGTTGAACCAGGAACTATTGCATGGAAGAAAATTAAAAATGAATTTGGGAGTGAGGTTATTTTACCAGATGGAATGATTGACAGACAGAAATTAGGACAAATTATTTTCTCAAATTCGGAATTAAGAAAAAAGCTAAATTCTATTACTCATCCAGAAATATATAAAACAATTTTTTGGGAATGTCTAAAATTATTTTTATTAGGTAAATTTTATTTTATTTCCAATTCCTGTTTAATTTCTAAAATTAAACTATTTAAGCATATAATATGCTATTCTCAGAGACTAAAATTTTTCATTAAATGAAAATAATGAACATAATACAATACATTGTGGTTATTATTTTCATTCATCTGTTTCTCTGAATGTACTGTACCTCAATGGCCAATACTGATATTAAGATGCTTAATATTGCCTTGAAGCAAACTAACAATATTATGAATGATATCTAATTTTAATTTTAAATTTCTACAATACATTTTAATTTATTCCATTAAAAAGTAATATTATTGTACTTATGGAATTACAATACAAAGTAATTATATAATCATGGACAATGAATATAAATTGAAACTTAGATTATTCACACATTACAGGGCAATTACATTTAGTATTACTAGTAGATTGTTACTAGTCTATGTAGTTTGTGATACATCATAAAAATTCTATACTAGATCATAAAAATATATATATATAATTAAATTTTGTTCCACAAAAATAGTTGTTCTAAAATTAATTTACATTTAATGTTAACTAATAAAAAAAATTAAACTTGTTTTATTAGTTAACAAAAAAATTAATTCTGAAAATATTAAAGTATTAGAATTTATTCCAAATCTTATATTTATAGGAGCAAAGCTATAGCTACTGTGGGTTATGAGCCCACTGTAGCTACAGCTTTGCTCCTATACATATGAGATTTGGTTAAGTTCTCTCAGCTTGGTTAGCAGAGCCTATATATAGTATGTATAATATATGGTTTTGCTTTCATCATGTAAACTAAGTAACTGTTACTTTTGTTTTTTACTTTTAGACATAAGTCTAGTGTTGATCATTTTAAATCTTTAAACTGAAATCTCAGTTCACAATTTAAAATTTAATTTTGTTGAAAACAGTGAGTAAGGTTTTAATTTTTAAATTGTAAGCCTAATTCTGGCTGGAAAATACCAGTCAATTTTTTTCAGCTTGTCCCTGTAGCCCCCAATGATTTATTCCTGGCTGCAGGACATCATATGAGTTGCTTTGGTTCTGAATCAAGTAAAAACTGAGTTTTATACCAAAATTATTATATGCCTCTTTGTGTCTTAAAAGAAAATAGATTATTATTGAATGATTGTCATGTGGAAAATTTAGCTTATAAGTGATTCTTATCATTCAAGATATCACTGGATGATCACTCTTACTTGTTAGTTGAAATTTTATGGATATCAATGATGGATAATCATTGAGGAATATTTTTAGTCTTTGAATCATTTAGTAGGCCTACTACAGTTCAAACTTAAATTGAATTTATCACATGTCATTCAAGAGTTTTTCACACAGGTTCTTGCTAATCTGGATATTCCTTGTGACAGAGCTGCCAGATTAGACAGAGTGACTGATTATATGCCTAAAGGCAATTTTTGGACATGACTTGTTGCCCTTTGGCACTTATTCTTTTTGGAACTGCACTGTTTTTGTTGTTGTGAAATTATGTAATGATACAGTAGTTGTAAGCTTAATCCTTTATTACATTTGATGTTACAAGTTTACTGTATGTATTTTAAAAAGCATATAGACTAATGGAATATGCCAAAAAATTGAGAGGTCAGATTGGGAAGCATACATACTGTTTTCTTAATGAACCATACATACTGTAAAACCATACATACTGTTTTCTTAACGAAAAGAACAATTTTTAAAATATTTTTTTTATTCAAGC